AACAAATGCCCTACAGCTGCTGGACCCCACAAACCTGCTCAACACTTAGCGCATGCAAGCATTGAAAAGAGCAGGAGCAAGAACACACCCCTGGCAAACCCCCAAATCAACTGGGAAGAATGCAAAGATTCTCCCTCCACTCTGCACAGCACTCACAGTACCACTGTGCAGGCCGGCCATGATGTCCAGCAACTTTGAGGGGATCCCGCAAAGTCGCAGGATGTCCCACAGGGCAACTCGATCAACTGAGTCAATAGTTTTACAAAAATCAACAAAGGCTGCCAACCGCTGCCGATTTTCACACTTCTGCTCGATGAGAACCCTCAGTGCCAGGATGCAGTCGATGGTAGACGCTCTTAGGTGCTAAACCAGACAGCTCCAGTCAATGGTAGGAGAACAAGTGATCACAGATCCTGTTAAGGATGACCATAGCAAGGACCTTACTCTGCACTGAGAGCAGTGTTATCCCTCTAGTTGCCGCAATCCAGGCAATCACTGTTCCCTTTCCAGATAAGGACTACAAGTTCATAAAAAGTTGGGATGATGCCTGACTCATGGGCATAAATCCCGGGGGGGCAGCGGAGGGGACATGTCCCCCCCTATCCGAGGGTTGTCCCCCCAAAAAAAATTATAAAAAAAATAATTGCACTATCTATTGTGAAAAATATATTTATGTATACCTAAAATAATTCTGTAAGTAGAAAAAAAAACAAACGCAAAAAATGCATTTAGAAACAGTTGAGTTCCCCCTCCCCTTCCTCACAGTGGTTTGGCCAACTGCCTGCTTTCCCAGGTCATCTCACCTACTCTACTCACACAAATCAGGTGTGTGGCTGCGGCTCAATTAATGTTGAACTCCAGTAAGAACTCCAATAAAGTATTTTATTCACTTTAAATAAAGCGATTCTCTTTAATGTAGTTGATGCAGACTCATTCATAAATTAGTTGCAGCAAAAATGCTGATTTCCGATGTAATTTTCCATGAATCTGCTACAGTATATTAGCGATTAAAATATTACTTATCTAGTTAACGTTAGCTTGTTTACAATAGCTTGTTGCATAGTGCACTGCAACTAACACGCCAAAGCCGTTTCCAATGCATTGTTTTATTTGTGACGACTTGGCATAATGTTAACTTAACATTAACGGCCACAATTAGCATATTGTTTAGCTGTGCATTTACTAAATGAGCACTGTGCTACGTCCGAACTGACCCCACTGTAGTTTTTTGTATAATCAATTTCTATTATGCATTTAAACAGTCATGTTTAAATTTTATTGTATGTTGATGGCTTGACTGTAAACAACATAACAAACAATGCAATAAGTAGTTTTGAAGAAAAATCTGCTTTGTCATTGAACCTGAGAAAAACTTTGAAAATAACCATAATGACGCAGTCTCCATGCTACAATAATAATGATAGAAGCAAAGTTTTTCATTGTGGGGACTTATCTTTATAAGTACAATTTGACTGTATTATTTGTGTCCCCTTCAGAAATTGCTCATGAGAAATTTTATATTTATTGTCCCCCCCTACTGTTAAATGAAATTTACGCCCATGGTCTGACTCCCAAATGGAAGCAAAGATTGCTTGCAATACAAGGAGGACAGCCTTACCACCAGCCTGGAGAAGTTCACCCTAAATACCACAGATCCCTATGGCCTTCCCTACCCCCAGCTGATTTACCTTTCAGTGAGATTCAATGGTTCACAGCTGACGAGGATCAGCCTCAAGAATCATGCACCCAGAGATGACCAACATCTTAGTCAAAAGATCAGCTTTAAGAAACTGCTCAAAGTAGCCAGCCCAGCGGATCCCAACTGCAGTGTCTGTAAGGACCGTTCCATCATTTGCCTTGACTGCCAATCTCCGAGGAACAGAATCAGATTTACATAATGCTTTGATTCCACTGTAAGCAGGACATGGGTCTCTAGACCAGAGGTGGCGTGTCACCTGCTCACCTGCCCTCACAGCTATCCTCCTCAGTTCCTGGTACAGACTGGAGTTGTGCACTGCGACTCCCCTCCATAATATCCAGGGTGCCCTGCGAGATGAAACACCTCCTTCTGGGAACTCCAGCAACACCAACACAACCCTTGGCAACCTTCAGAGTCTTATTATGGAAGGTCTCCCACATCACATTACAGTTGGCAGTCACACCCAAGTCTGCAAGTTCCTTATACAAACGTGTGCAAACTAATCAGAAACAACTTGATCTTGGAGTCTGGCTAAGTCCAGCCTCATTCTCGTAGTAGGTGGTAGCCTACTGGATCTAAGCCGAATCTTTAGAGCAGCAACAACAAGTCTGTGGTAGGAATTCACAAACTGGGCACTTCTCTAGACCCTGCAGTTCTGCAGGAGCCTCCAGCGTCTGCCCACAAGGACCGATCTCCTTCACTGCACCACCAGTATTGTAGTATCAAATCCAATGATGCGGCTTGGGGTGTTGGAACCAGGATTCAGCAACCTGCAGCCCCTGACCTTTCGCAAAGTCAAGGAACAAACCTCACCTTGTGGGCACCCATCACCCACTGAGTGAAGTTGTGAGTAAATTGTCTCCCTCAAAGAGACATCACTTACCGCGGTTGGGGCATACACTGAGACAACAGACAAGACACCAAGACCCAAGGAGAGCCCCAAAAGTAGGAGTATCCACCTACAGAGATCAGACCACTCCCTGGTCTGCGTACCTCTTCCTCCAATACAGGAAACAATGGAGGTTGATAACATAGACAACACTGGAATGGGGGCATCCCTGTAGAGAGTTTTGGGCGTATTCCATCCAAAGGAGGAAAACACTGCAGGATACAGGCAAGTGGGAGGCCATGCAACGCAGCATCCATTCCAGGTCCTGTTGGCTCTCTTGGTCTGACTATTGAACTGTAGGTAAAATCCAGATGAAAGCCTAGCTGTAGCTCCAATCAATCTACAGTATTCCTGGAAATAAACTGGGGATGGTAGTCCATGCAACTTGAAAACGTGGTCGACAAGTAACTGTGCCATCTCCTTTGCCATGGGTAGCTTGGACACTGTAACAAAATGCAGAGCTTTAGAGAAGCGGTCAATGTCTGTGAGAATACCAGTGAATCTTCTGGAAGGAGGAAGACCAGACTCAAAGTCCAAAGCTACATGAGACCCAGGGTGACGGGGAATGGCAAGGGGTTGCAATAGCCCGGCTGGAGCATGGGATGGGTTCTTCTTACGAGCACACGTGGGACAAGCAGCAACATAGACATTGATGTATTGAAGCATAGCTGGCTACCAGAAACACTGGTCAAGTAGCATTCTGGTTCGATGCACCTTTGCAAGCTAAGAGAGAGTCATGCCCCCACTGGAGGACCTGTGAACATAAAAAATTAGGGACAAACAGTCGGTTTGATGGACAGGCCTCCTCAACTCCTCAGGAAACTGAGATGAGGTGAACAAGTCAACAAGGTGATAATATGAGCAATCTGAGGGAACGGACGGCTGCAACCCAAAAATTAAAGAACATTGGGGCAAAAACGAATGACAGGTTCCCAGAACGCCATTATACTGCAGGGGAAGAGGTAGGTGGGGCTCACTGACCAAAGAACAAATAATTTGACAACTGGAATTGAGACATTGCATCTCAGCCACTAACTCTGTTAATCCGACGTTAAGACTCCAGGGACTCACAGGTTGCGGTGAGTTCTGACTGGTGATGCCCAAGCAGAGCACCCTGCTTATCCAGGTCTTCAGTGAGATGCTGATAGCTAGTCTGGTCCATGGGGTCCATCCTGATGGCGAGATCTTCTGTCACAATGGGCATCATGGAGAATAAGCAGGATACTGCTGCGGATCAGACAGGCGAAAAGTCTTTAATAACTTGGCAAGCTTACACTTTCACATCGGTCATAGGCAGCAACCAAAAAGAACCCTTCAGAGACTTCCTTGAATAAACACATCTCGATAGCAGTAACCTTAAAATATTATACCCTGGAACCAGTGCATCAACTGCTTCCAGAATGTGCACTTAAGACACATTTACCATAGATAGGATTGACTAAATATAGGATAAACCAAACTTTACAGAGAGGGGCAAATTCCAAAAGAATTTAAAACAAGTTTTCACTATTAGAATGTTTTCTCCTCTGTGGTTTCCTGGGGGGTGTTCTACAAAGCAGGATTTCATTAGCCAGATAACTTAAGCTAAATGTAAGGATTGTCCAATAGGAATGTCACTTACCTCTCTTCCTGTTGAACATTTTCATGTTTAGCTTAAGGTATCCAGTGAACTGGGAAATCCAATTTTGTGGTAAACCCCTTGGCATAAAGCTCACTTATCAGACACATAACATCCATTTAACATAGGAAAAAGACATACAATACAAGATAAAACACAACAGTATAAAAAGAGTGCCAAAAAGAGATATTTATATGTGATACTACCATTCAGTTAAACTAGCTAGATAACTAGCTATCATTTCATGCAAATGGAACTCTGCCATTTAAACAGCTTAAGGTGATTTAAATGTTTCCTTAGCTAGCTAGCAAACATAGCGACTAGGCAACAGCAGCAATCAGGAACACATTTTCTGTTAAATATCTCAAAATGAGCTGAACAAGAAAAGACAGTATTGTGTGTGAACACAACCCACAAGGAGGTGGAGCTGGACTCCATTTTTAACCTTGGGTATAATAGAGTGAGGAGAGAGATGCGCCTGTTTTTCTTTTCCACACCTAAATAAACTTATTAGAGCTTTATAAGAGCATCTGCCAAATGACAATGTAATATAGCATATTAGTGCTGTTAACCAGGTGAATTCCATAATGTGTGCATGGGGCAGGAATGCGGCTTTCTGGGTGAGTAATCAAGACATTGGATTAGATGATTCTTTGGTTGGACTGATGTGTGTGTTCTTGCCATGGTGCCAAGAGTTTGATGTGGCCGGCCGCTACTGAGAAATGTTACCAGCAGAAACAATGACCCGTGATGTATGGACTTCACAACCTCACCATCTGTCTGCATGTTTGTAGGATTGCACAGAAAGCTTATGCCAGTGCACCGGCAGTGGGCAGGAGTGTCTATGTGTGGCCCTGGAGAGTTATGCCAAGGCTTGTGCCAATCAGGATTCCCCGGTGGGTGACTGGAGGAAGGCTACAAACTGCAGTAAGTGCGCCAGCTGTCACCTGCCCCGGCAAGAGCAGGATATGCTATTGTCCAGCGTGGCATCTTCTGAGAGGAAGTCGACTTAGCAAACCTCCAGTGCCACGCCTGGCAGGCTTCACTGCCGCACCCCCCCTCACCGTCCGAGACAAAGTGAAACTGGCCAGTTAGCTTTGCCAGGGTGGGATTGCCGGCAGTGAAGCTTGCCCAGGGTATCACATCAGCTTTAAACTGCACTGCCTCTCTGTGTTCAAACCAAGGTGTGACCCTTTAATTTGCGTTTCAGCTATAAAGTGCCCCAACAATCAGAGGTTTGACTACGACACTCAGGCCTGTAATAGTACCTGCCGGTCTCTGTCGGGCCCCGACCCAACTTGTGAGGTGGATGACGCCCCGGTGGACGGCTGTGGGTGTCCTGATGGCAGCTTCCGGAATGACCAGCAGACCTGTGTTTCTCAGCCAGAATGTGCGTGTTACTACCAGGGAATTGTCTTCTCAGGCTCTGACCCAACTTACATCAAAGGACAAAAATGGTGAGTTTCACAAAGTCCGTTGTTCTGCAGGTGGCATCACTGGGATCTGATTGTAACATGAAGCCTTACACCTACTGGCACAGTTGTGATCATGCTAATCTGAATGTATACAAATGTCCTCTTTGTTTATTATAGCACGTGTGAAAATGAGAAACCCAGCTGCTCACCAACAGAAGGTAAAGTCAATCCTTCACCTAATGACATATTGTAATGTAATGTGCGTCCAGTCGCTGATCTGAGTAGGACAGCTTCTACAAAGTTTATGTTACACTCTATTTCCTGTTTCAGTGTATACTGATTAATATCTTATCAGTCCATGTATTTAAAAACTGCTTTTCCCGGGGAGGACAGTGTTGATTATGATCATAAATGTTTGAGTATGAGTTTGTTTCTGCAGATAAACGTATACTCTGCATTATGTACATTTTATACAACAATCAACAACATACTATGTGTACAGAGATTATACAAATATGGCAAAACAATAACTTATTTAAACCTAAGATGTGAGGCAGTCAGACAAAAAGGTCAGCAACACACTGTACTGTCGGCATTTTCTGCTGTTACTAAACTGGATTTCAAATGAAAATTGAGAATAATATAAAAATAATAACAAAAAAAAACCCAAATATATGTATGAAAACACTGCTCCATATGACAAAAAGTAATTTTTTTATGATTTTTTGTTTTATATTTCAGTCTGCAGTCCATTGAATTTGAAGTAACAAAATACTCCAATTCCTTGAAGTACCCTTAGTTAATAATTTGAATGATACTGTGATAACTATTAAAATGTTGAGATAACATATTTCGCCATATCACCAAGCCCTGCAGTAGACAGATCACGGCCAACACAACGGACCTGGAATGTCTGCATCTCATAAGCTCTATTTTTTAGCAATAAAGTTGTGGGAAACGGTGTTCTGACTGTGTGTGTGGTTTTACAGAGTGTCCTTCACCAAAGATATATGAACACTGCTCACATGCATCTGGAAGTATGGCAGCGAGAACGTGTGAAACCCTGTACAAGCCAAAAGTATGTGCAGACAACTGAGAAGTAATAATTTAGCTCAGAGAAAGGAGTCTTTGTAAAGAGCTTTGCTCATCCGAGTTAGTCTGACATTGTCTTGTAGGAGTAAGCAGGTGTTTTGTGAAATGAAGACCTGTATTAACCGACAAGATGTGCATTTCCGTCTTTTCAGAGTGACATCTGTCAGGTCGGGTGTCGCTGTCCAGATGGTCAATACGAAGACAATTATGGCGCATGTGTTACCCAGGAGAAATGCACTTGCACATTTGAGGGACGGACATACAAGCCAGGAGACAATATAGAATTGAAGTGCCACAGTTGGTAAGTCAACGGTCATCTCTGCTGGTTTGGAAAGGAAACTACTTCACTTTTACTTCACTTCACTGAGGACATGAGGCAGGAACACCTTGGACTGTAATGCTAAAACTTCACAGGCACAGACACAGTTACACACAAAATCAATGTCAAAGCACCATTTCAACTAACTGCATGTTTTTTTTTGTATCCAATCCAATGAACCATCATGCTGCTCAAGTAAATGACTATTTTAAATTAAATTTACACACTTTGTGTAATTAGTATCAATTCAATCAGAATAGTACAGATCCCAAAGAGGCCTCCTGACTGTGTATCCTAACTTCACAGCACTTGTACAAATGGGACGTGGGACTGTATATCCCTGCCGTGTCCCGGGAAGTGCCAAGTGTTTGGGAACGGCTACTACCAGACGTTTGACTCCAAGTGGTACCACTTCGACGGGCACTGTCAGTACACGCTGGTTCAGGTGGGTTTGGTGCTGGAGCGACGGCCATTGCTGTACGCATTTCTGCTGTTGCTCTAGTGAAGGAAATAGAACAAGCCTGAAAAAACCTTAAGCAAACTTATCATGTGAGATGTTTTTTCTTTTCTTTTTTTCAAGTAAAGTCACAGGTACAATCTTCCCACGTATGACTATACTGTAGTAAAATGCTAATATTTTAGCATGTAGTGCTATGTGACTCCGGCTGGAGAATAAGGAGAAAGGTTGGGTTTGCTGTTCTTGGTTTGAACATGGCTGCTGCACCATTTCCCCTGTTTACCAGGACAACTGTAAGACAAGCAACAGCACATTCTCCATCACCGTGGAGAGCGTTCCCTGCTGTGATGCCGTGTATACATGTTCTCGCACTATCGTGGTCAACTTCAAGGTACCCTGAACAAGTCAGGTCAAAGTGGCTTTTTGCACCCTTATTTTGCATATTCTTGTACTTGTTTTAACATGAGATTCCTCTCCCTTGGAACAGGGTGAGGTTCAACTGACGTTGCAGGACATGAATGTGACAGAGACAAGACGCAACCCTTTGTCTACTGACATTAGGCCCATGTACTCTGTCCACACTGTTGGCCTGTACATCATTATCTCTAGCCCAGACATTGGGATCGACATCATCTGGGACAAGAACACCAGAGTGACCGTCATACTGGATAAAAAATTGGAGGCCTGTAACTCAGTCTTTTGTTCCTATATATTTGTACACACAAACTGTGTTTTTGCTGCTAGGTTTTTAACTTTTAATATTGGGTATTTTCTACAAACCAATGTTTATCTCAATTGGAATAGCTGAGTAATATTCATTAGTATATGGTTTAAGCTGGTATCTCCACACAGCATTACTGAGCTGAGTGTACCTGTGAACCCAAAACTGTACAATTAGCACATGTTCCCCAGAAAGATACTCAACTCCATTTCTGTCAATAATAGACAAAGGTGTGCGGTCTCTGTGGAAACTTTGATGACAACATGATAAATGATTTGGAAACACGAGCACTAGCACTGGTGACCAGTGAGCTGGAATTTGGGAATAGCTGGAAAACTCACAGCCAGCCTTGTGCCGATGCCGTCAATGACACATTCATCTGTAAAAACGACTACTGTGCAACCTTGGCAGAACGTCGCTGCCAAATCCTCCTCAGTGACTCCTTCAAAGACTGTCACCCCAAGGTACAGGACTGCCTTTATTTCAGGACTCCCTCATCTCACAGAAATTGCCTCATTACTCTTAGGTATCACAGTGACTTCACTGCAGCAATCATTTCTCGTATAGCATTTTATTGGAAATACTATTTTATTCTGTGGGTAGATGGTCACTCACAGATCAATGGCTTATAATATTAAACCTTGGGGAATTAATGCCAAGTATAATTCTATGACATTAAAGCCCACACTGTTTTTTCTCATCTGTCTGTTGTAGGTGGACCCTCATTCATATTATGCAGCTTGTGTGAGGGAATCGTGTTCCTGTGATTTTCAAGGAAAGTTCCTGGGTTTCTGCACTGCTGTAGCATCCTATGCAGAAGCCTGCAGTGAGCACAGTGTCTGCATTAGCTGGAGAACACCGGATCTGTGCCGTATGTGTCTCCATCCATTTTAATTTCTGTTATTATAGCTGCATGTACAAAAAGTATAGAAATTCAACTGCCTCTTATTTCTTATGTAATTATATTTAACCTAAAACATTATAGGAATGAGCAGGGTTGTGCAAACAGTTTTCCTGTATATATCTTTATATATCCTAAATACTTAATTTTCTCTGCATAATCTTACTGTTTACCTTCATGCCAGCGGTTTTCTGTGACTACTATAATGAAAAGGATGAGTGTACCTGGCACTACCAGGCCTGCGGCCCAGTAAAAACCTGTGGAAAACCTTTCCCTTTGACTGGGAAGCTGGAAGGTAACTGTCGATGTGCTTTACATTCACACCTTAAATCATTTCATGTTTTCCAGCAGTTTGCTCACAGAAATATGACATATTTTTATAGGGAAATTTGTTTAGCAGAAAACCCATTGATGTTTTTCTAAATGCCACACAGGTTGCTACCCAAAATGTCCAGAAAATCTGCCATATTTCGATGAGAACAGAAGAAAATGTTCCTCTTTGTCACACTGCACATGTTACTGGAATAATGCTGTTATTCTCCCCGGTGCACAAATAAGTGCCCCAGACATGAGCTGGTAAGAAATGTGGCTGTAATCATACTTGATTAAATTACATATACTGAATTTGCTGATATGTTTGGTTAATGATTATACATGTGTATTTTTTTTCAGCTACTGTACCAATGGAAGTGTCACATGTAGTATGTATTACCTATTATATATTATTTTCTCTTTTAAATTCCAAGAAATGTTTTCTATGAGTTGTTCATGTATTATACTTTAATAGTAATATCAGTAGTAGCTGCATCAAACTCCAACAACAAAGACGTGCAGAATGGTGCACAGAATAAAGGCCCTACAGAGTGTACTTCAAAGAAGTACTTCAAAGAACGTAGTTGACAGACTTGTACCTCAGCATGTGTTAAATGCTGAGAGAAAACCTTACACAGTGTGCAACATACAGCTGTTAGTATAGAGAGGCCTTAAGATGGAGAAACAGAAGGTAAAAGACAATTCAGTTAAATGAAATAAGAGGCCAGGTGATACTCAGTCACTTATGCAGAGGATGTTAAACATAAAAACTTTGCTTTAGACACTGGGTGTAGGCCTGTGATTTTAATGCTTTTTTCTCACCTGGAGATAAAAAGACAGATGTTTGTGAATTCTTCTGTCTTGTTAATACGTAACATTTCTACTTGACTGACACTGGGTTTTTATTTGGGAATAGTACCTACCAAGCAACTCATAATTATTACTACACCATCTGCAAGTGGGTCAACCACAAGTATCACTGGACCAACTACAACTTGGTCAACCACGACTATCACCAAACCAACGACAACTGGGTCATCCACGACTATCACCAAACCAACCACAACTGGGTCAACCACGAGTATCACCAAACCAACCACAACTGGGTCATCCACGACTGTCACCAAACCAACTACAACTGGGTCATCCACGACTATCACCAAACCAACTACAACTGGGTCGGCCACGACTATCACCAAACCAACTACAACTGGGTCATCCACGACTGTCACCAAACCAACTACAACTGGGTCATCCACGACTATCACCAAACCAACTACAACTGGGTCATCCACCACTAGAACTACAAGTAAGTTTGACATTAATTGCAAAGGAATCAGCTACTTTATATATAATTTCAGCATTATCTACAACAAAATCAAGTAGTCAAAGTGAAACTTAAGTTCAAGTGAGATTTTATCACAAATAATAGTGATTCCTGTCTTCATGTTCACATAGAATAGTTTTGCAAACATTCTGAAAAATGTTTATCTTCTTTCCTTATTCACAATTGTTTTGAAATGGTGTCTCAGAAGCTCTTCACATGATTGGTATACGTGTCACTCTTCCTTGATTGCTCTTATTATTATCTGCCATATGTGTTATCACTGTATTTACATAGCAGAGTGTGCATGATAACCGATTTGAAATTGAAAAGGTGTTTTTCCTCAACTGATTGCTGCTTGTCTTTAGTTTCCCTGCCCAACTGCTGTCCAACACCTAAGGTGCCGAAGTGCGTTAGTGGGACATTAAGAAACGTGTCTCATGGCTGCTGCTGGAATATAATTTGTAGTGTCTTCTGTCTGGTGTCTCATATTTAGGTATTAATGTTCAAAATAAATCTGGAATTTCTTGGAAATCCCAGGAAGTTATTGGAATCTGTAAGTTATTGTTAGAAGAACAGATGTATTTACTACTAAAGATTGTCACCTTATAAATCTTCTCATATAACAGCCATATATAGATGTGTTCACTGGTGTACAGCAGGTAGCTCTTCATAATGCCCTCTATCCTAAGGCTATGGGTCTGTTTCGATGTCTCACCACACATCTGCTTCCTTTAGTTTGCCCCCCCTGTCCAGAAACTATGAAACCACAGTGTCCCAGAGGACTGCTAAGGAATATCTCTGATGACTGCTGCAGCAGATGGACTTGTGATTGTAAGTGTCATCTGATCAACATCTTGTCTGTCCTCGTATTTATCCATCAAGTTAGACTCTAAGAAGTTTCTCCTTATTTTGATTTATCTCAGCATGTTTACCTCCTTCCTTCAGGAATCGTTTTGTCTCTCTTCATTTGACCCCCTATGACCCCTAATTG